TATATATATATATATATATATATATATATATATATATATATATTTCATGTCTTTGGAACATACAAAGTAACAATACAATGCTAATAAGAATCTTAATACGTAGAGTATTATTTTATAATTTAGTACAGAATTTTAAAGCGCAATTGTAATTTTACAACATAACTACAGCCTTCCCTATTTTTAACATACAAAATATCATTAGAAAATACAACTAATGCTTTATATCACACAAGTATCACATAGGTTATCTCGATCTCTTTAAACACCAGATGTGAAACGTTACGTAATTTGTTTGCCTAGAATCACTCAAAATTGCTGCAAAATTAGTTAAATCGTTCACTTTTTCTTTTCAGGATGCTGATTAAAAGGAAAACAGCATGAAATCAGGAAAAACCTTACCTGACTATACACGACCGACGAAATCAACGACTTGACGCGACAACAACCTCTGCGCAGGCTGAGCCAGGCTATCACGTGGTGTTCTCGTGCGACGAATCGGTGGCCACGTGCGCTGTCGACAATCGAACTGCGATTATCGATACGTTTCGTTTTCTTAAATTTACGCGATGTAACATTTCGTTAATTACGCGGACGGTGCCAACATACATAGTGTTTGAGTGCTTTCTGTGCATATAATCAAGCATGATGATGAACTTAATTTTTTCCTTTTCACGAGAAGAGGAGCTCGTCATCAGCATCAGACGGTATTTTCTCAATGGGGCTACATATATCGGGGGAGCGACAACAAGCGGCAAGTTGTAAGTCATAATAGATTAATACAATATTTTCATTCGCAAACGCGCTCAACGGTAGATTTCTTGGTCGTTTACGTAATCCAATTTCCTTTCTTTCTTTCTTTTTTGTTGTTTTGCGTGAAACGAGCGATCGAGCGTGTCGTTGATCGATGAGGAGGAAAGAGTGCTTCCGTTGCGATGAATATCATTTCTAAGCGTTCTGACTTGATGGGACGGTGATAAGCGACACGGTATTTTATGCGTTGCACGAGCCCTCGGGTTCCTCCTGACAATGGCCAGGTACTTCAATATAATCTGTGCGATCCCTGCGGAAAGGAATTACGACATATTTTAGGCACACATTGACAAGTGATGGCGAAGCTAGAAATTCATTGATCTACGAGACAAATATATTGCGTGTCCCTTGTTTATAAAAAGTTAAAAGAGGGCATTAGATTAATTAGTGGAGTTAGTTGAGTTAGAGGTCTGAAATTAACTCGGGAACTAAATATAGCCGATTCTTCCAGCAAATAGCGAAGAGGAAAGCCCCGGTAAATATTAATACTTTAACTTTGAGAGACTTACCGTTACATTCTTCGTCTCATTGAAAAATACTCCGGGAATATTTGTGCAATTATTGTTCATTGAAGGATTATAGATTTATAACTTGACGTAGTGTCTTTATATTTCGTATTTTTTTTTAACTTATTTATTTATTATAAAGGTAATAGATGTTACATAAAAAATGACGAGAATTGCAATTACCACAACTAAACTTTTAAACAGCTTTTCAACAGTACATAATGTTTATATACGTTTTTTGTATTTAAAGACAGGCGCCTGTTCCCGGGTTAATAACAAAAACATACATATATTTATTCAAATCGCATATAAGACAGACAAAGTCATGTCTATTGAACACTCAAGTTCTTATTAAAAAAACTAAACTCTCCTAAATTACATTCACACTTAAAAAAATAAAAAAAAAACAGATTATATCTAACCTCGCCACGTGGTCTTTTACTATCGTGCAACTCGGTAGAGACCCACAGTGATCCGATCCAACGTATAAATCACGCACCGCAATATAAACGTAAAACATGCTTCATGCGTATGGTCGATAATGATTCTCGTATTAATTAGTCTCTTTTGTACGTAGGGGAATACATATATTCTTTAAATTACATATTCTAAACAAATATATAAAAGATATAAATAGCTGCATTATAATATATGGGAGAGGGACGGGAGTACAATATCTAGTATTTAAAATCTCATAGAAGGTAAAAATGAAGAATCATATGAAACAGTGAAAGTTCAATCTCGCACTAAGATAAATACTAGCTGCATAAAACATGCTAATTATTTTTATTATAACAATATAAATAAAATCGGTATTGTAACTTCTTAACAAAAAATTTTTACAAGAGAAAAATCTACTTCTATACTCTCTCTTCATATCATTTTATTCATATTCTATCTCTCTTCATATCGCATTCTTTTAATAAAGCAGTACCATTATCTTCATTCAGTGCTGCTGCATACTAAAAGTGTTCTTCCGTAATTTATAACTTGCTGAGTAACAAATACGCAACTCAGTTATGTTTGATTCGCGTTACATTTTGTTATTTATTCCAAACTTTTCATGTATGAGATTATTTCAGTTTGTGCTAAAATTACATATTATGATCATTGCACTTCTCTTTTAATCTTTTTATGAAGTCTATTAAAACTATAAATTTAAATTAACAGTTGGGAAAAGTAAAAAGAATTTTGCATCATTGCTATAATTTTATGCATATATATCCACGTTTTGACTGGTTAGGGGTACATTGGGGATATATATTGAAAATATACACGTTTGAGACTTCGCCATAAAAAAAAAACATTGTAACAGAACTAAAATATTTCTAAAAAAGAAGTATATACACACTGTGCCTTTTAGTAATATATAAATTTTGTATTACACACGTTTACTTATATATGTAAAAAATACGTATAAAATATTTTTTGTATATATAAAACAACCCTATACATGTACATAAAATATGCTTATAAATGAATGAGATTTTTGCAATTAAAATAATACAAAAATAATAATTCATATATATTTCGCAGAATAAAAAATTTTAACTAATTCCGATAAATAGATATGATTTATGATTTCTTTTCTTTATAATACTATAAACTATATCATTATAAATATTTCTAGGGCTCGCGTATAATTCTCTAAAAATATAATTCGCGTAATACATTTGATATAAATATCGTTATTAAAAAAAAAAAGAAATAATATATATATATATACAAAAAACCGACCTATCTTTCGAGATATATCACATATGCTTGCACACACCTATTGCACGTGCTTTATGTTTTACCGTATTATATTATGTCTCTGATTTATTTTTGAATTATATATATATATATATATATATATATATATATATATATATATATATATATATATATATCTCTCT